TTCTTGATTTTGTGTTGTCGAGCTGCCCTTTGAAAATTTCTGTTCAGCTGTTTATTTCATCATTTCCTCCAATTGCTTTAATTTCTCTATTGTTGTTGTCAGGTGCCATCGAGTCGGAACCGACTCATAGCGACCCCATGCACAGCAGAACGAAACAATGTCCGATCCTGGGCCAACCTCACTACCGCTGCCACACTTGACGCCATCAATGATGCCACCTGGCTGATCCATCTCATTGGGGGTCTTCCGCTTTTTCTCTGACCCTCCATCTTACCCAGCATGACATCCTTCTCCAGCGACTGTTCCCTCCTGACAATATGTCCAAAGTATGAGAGACGAAGCTTAGCCATCTTGGCCTCCAAGGAGCACTCTGGCTGCACTTCTTCCAAAACAGATCTATTGGTTCTTTTGGCAGTCCATGGCACTTTTAGTATTCTCCTCCAAGACCACAACTCAAAGGCATCAATTCTTCTATAATCTCCTTCATTCACTGTCTAGCTTTCGCATCCATATGAGGTTATTGAAAATGCCATGGCTTGGGTCAGGCTCACCTTAGTCCTCAAGCTGAAGTCTCTGCTCTTCAATACTTTAAAAAGTTCCTGTGCAGCAGATTTGCCCAATGCAATATGTCATCTGATCTCTTGACTGCTGCTTCCGCGAGTGTTGATAGTTGATCCAAGAAGAATGAAGTCCTTGACAACTTCAATCTTTTCTCCGTTGATAAGAATGTTGTTTATTGGTCCAGTGGTGAGGATTTTTGTTTTCCTGACATTGAGATGCAACCCATACGGAAAGCTGTGCTCTTTGATCTTCATCAGTAAATATTTCAAGTCCTCTTCACTTTCAGTAAGCAAGGTTGTATCATCTGCATATCGCAGGTTGTTAATGAGCCTTCCTCCAATCCTGATGCCAGGAATTGATGGAATAAAAATTGAAATCTTTCAAGAAAGTGAGGCTGCACAAGAGGCACTCACTCATCTCTGCCAAGAAATTTGGAAGACAACTATCTGGCTGACTGATTGGAAGAGATGCATATTTGTGCCCATTCCAAAGAGAGGTGACCCAATGGAACGCGGAAATCATTGGACAATCTCCTTGATATCTCAAATGAGTGAAGTTTTGCTAAAGGTAATACAGAAAAGGCTACAATTTCTCTATATTAAAAGCAAATTTTTAAAACTGTTTTTTGTGTGTGTGTGAGTTGAGTGAAGGTTTACAGACAAGATTATCAGTTTTACATTCCAAAATATCATACACTTGGTTTCATCTCAATGATTGCAATCCCCTCCATGGAACAACAGTTACCCTGCTTCGTCCCTTGGTTTCTATTTCCATTGTACCCACTTTCCCATCCCTTCTGAACTTTCAAAATCAAAATCAAAATGATTGGCCATTCCAAAGTTGTTGTTGTTGTTAAGTGCCGTCGAGTCGGTTCCGACCCATAGCGACCCTGAACAGGGTTTCCGAGGCTACGGGAGAAGAAAGCCTCATCTTTCTCCTGCGGAACAGCTGGTAGTTTCAAAGTGCTGACCTTATGGTTCGCAGCTTGATTCGTAACCACTACACTACCAGAGTATGCATACCTTAATAGTGGTGTTGTTCCCCCTATATACCTATCTACTGCTTGGCTGAAGGTCTTTCTGCTGCTGCAAAAGACCATTTTAAAGTGTTAAAGAGCAAATATATGTCAGTTTGAGGACTAAGGAGCACCTGACCCAAGGCCTGGTATTTTCAATTTTCTCATAGGTATGTGGAGTCCTGATGTGGCGCTGTGGGTTAATGTGCCAGACTGCAAAGCCATTTGAATTGTAAGATCGGCAGTTCAAGCTCACCAGTTGCTCCTCAGAAACCGTATACAGGGTTGCTATGGGTCGGAGTTGACTAAATGGTACTTAATAACAACAACAACAAAAAAATAGGTATGTGAACATTGGACAATGAATAAGGAAGACCGGAAAAGAACTGATGTATTTGGAGAAAAACGTTGAAAGTATCATAGATTGCCAGAAGAACAAGCAAATCTGTCTTGGGAGATGTATATCCAGAATGCTCCTTAGAAGGTAACATATTGAGACTTCGTCTCTTGTACTTGGGGTATGTTGTCAGGAGAGACCTGTCCCTGGAAAAGGGCATCATGCTTGGCAAGATGAAGGGTCAGCAAAAAAGAGATGGATTGATTCAGTGGCAGCAACAAAGGGCTCAAACATAACAATTGTGAACATGGAGCAGGACCTGGCAGTGTTTCATTCTGTTGTGCATAGGGCCACTCTGAATGAAACTGACTAGATCACATCTAACAATAACAACATTAGTCGAAATCTATGAGATGGCATTTGGTTTGGTTTGGGTTACAGAGCAATGATGCATAAGAAAGACCTTTGAAGGCTAAGGGCTTGAGTTCTTCAGTACCCTTTCCCAGCTGCTGCCACACTAAGATTCAGCCTGGGGACTGTAAGAGTTGATGTGAAAAGTTCAGAAATGCAACTCTTGGTTCACATTAGAACCACCTTCAGAGATTTAAAATAATGCTAAGTCTTCACCCCATAGCAATTTAATCAGAATATCTAGAGTTTGACTCAATTATTTGCAGTCCCCCCCCCTTTTTTTTTCTTTTTTAAATTTTATGGGTAATGCAAAGGTCCCTGAGTAATGCAAAGGTTTGGCAGTTCGAACCTGAAAGTTGGAAAAAAAAGTCCTGATAATATGCTTCTGTAAAGATTGTTGTTAAATGTCATGGAGTCAGTTCTGACTTATAGCAGCTCTGTGTAGGGTTTCTCAGGAGCAGACGGTGGGTTTGAACTGCCAACCTTGTGGTTAGTATTCCAGTGCTTAGCCTAATGTGCCACCACCACCAAAACCCTATGGAACAGCTTGACTTTGTAGCACATGGGATTGCCATTCAGTTGCAATCAATTTGTCTGGGAACATGTTTACTTTGGTTTGTTGTGCTGTGAAGTGTCATTGAGTTGGTTTTGACTCATAGTGACCCAGTATAAAGGGTGTCATTGAGTTGGTTTTGACTCATAGTGACCCAGTTTAAAGGGTTTCTGCTTCTTTGCAGGAGCAGAAAGCTTCATCTTTTCACTACGAGTGGGTGGTGGGCTTGACTTGTCTGCCTTGTGGTTTGCAGTCCAGTACTTATCCTGAGTCGCCATACTTTCGTTTTGTATGGTGGTGGGTGGTGGGTGGTGGGTATGGGCTGTGGAGTAGGTTTCAACTCACAGCAATGCTGCACAGGGTTTCCGAGGCTGTAAATCTTTGTGGGAGCAGAAAGCATCATCTTTATCTCACGGAATGGCTGGTAGTTTCAATCTGCTGACCTTGAGGTTAGCAGCCCAACTCGAAACCACTAAGCTACCAGAGCTCCTTCTGGTTTTGTATGGGTGATGCTAATGGGCAACAAAAGTTAAGAATCATTGTGCAGGGTCTCACTTTACAAGAGACACCTTGTTTAATCTGTTCCTAACCTTCATTTGCCTGCATCTATATTCCTCTCCACTTCCTTCTATGAGGACATAGCTTTAAGTTACGAATGATTATTTGTTTAAGTAGGTTCCCCTCTTCCTCATATTTATGTACTGTTTATACAATGAACTCATTGGTCTGGGACCATGTCTAACTCATTGGAGGTAACAATTATGTATACATAAGAGTCACCTGGGGATCTATAAGAATCACCTGGGGATCTTGTTAAAAGTGTAGTCTCTGATCCAGTATAGCTAGGGTGGAAATACAAATTCTCAACAGGTGGTTGAACTGGAGTGAATCGTTTTGAAGCCCTGGTTGAAGCACATATCAGTATTTTTATTCTTTTTATTGCTAAATAATATTCTATTATGTTTACTCCATCTAGCCATTGATGGACATTCAGGTTGTTCCCATATATTTGCCTATTATGGATAATTCTATTAGACACATTAGTGTATAAGTTTTGTGTGTTCCTAGGTTTTCAATTCTTTTGGGTACATACCCAGGAGTGGAAGTACCTTTATATTAAGGAGCCCTGATACCATAGTGGATTATAAACTGGGCGTCTAATTGCAAGGTTGGCAGTTCAAATCTTCCAGCCACTCCGCGTGAAGATTTACAGAGTTGGAACCGACTCGGTGGCACACAACCATCATCATATATACTATCTCGATTGTTGCTGAACCTTATTTTCTGATTTCTTTGATTCAGCTCCGTTTCGCCTATGTGAGGCGGTCTGCACTGATGGGGTGGAGACAAAAGATCCTCAGGTACTTACGTGTTTTCAGTAAGTCTGTTAAAAACATTTCATGAGCAGGAGGGGCAGCACAATCATACAGAAACCTTCTTGTAACTTAGCGTCATTTCAAAATGTGAGGAAACCTGCAAAATGGAGCACCTGGGGGAGCATGCACGATACCTATAGTGGTGAGGATTTGTTGTCTCTGAGCTCCTGGGTTCCTGACAATCTCTCCAGCTGTTTCTCTGGCCACCTGTCACGGTCTATTCCTGGCATAGATGAGGCCTACTTGGTGCCAAGGACATGACTACATGGCTACTTCTATCTGAGAAGGCCCAGTGAGAAGCCCAAACACAGAGATGGGATTGTTTTTCAGTGACACCAATAAACCTCATGTAGCCAGGTGCAGACAGCCCTGCAAATGTAAGGCCATACAGCATACAAAGCAGAAACCCAAATGCCTGGATGAAGTTGCCCTGACCACTCAGGCAGTCTCTAGGGTCTCCGATTCCCTCCCGCATGACCGACCCGCTCCTTTGCTGGGGGGAATTGAGCCTGCGCGGGATTGCCAGAGCAGGCAGCCTTCCGACCCTGCGCAGTCACAAACAGGCCTGCAGTTTCAGCGGGAGCCCCCGCAGAGTGCGCGCTCACGCACGCGCATGACCTCGCCTGCGCGCGCACACGGCCTCTGGAGGCAGGCACGCGCGCTCGCCCCGCCCCGCCTCCTCCCTCTTCCCTTGCGCCCGCCCACCGCCCGCTGCCGCCGCCGCCGCCGCCGCCGACTGCGCTCTGTAGTATGGCATCGAGGAGAATGGAGACCAAACCTGTGATAACCTGTCTCAAAACCCTCCTCATCATCTACTCCTTCGTCTTCTGGGTGAGTGCCCATGCCAAGCCAGTGGTCCGACCTCCATCCCTCCATGAGATGATGCTCTGAGCGAGAAAGGGTGAAGAAATTAAATCTCGGGTCCCTCTTCAAGGAGGCGGGCGCTGGGTGGTGGGCCGGGGCTGCAGAGGACTTAGGGGCTGCAAGAACCCTAGACCCAGTCTTGGCGGGCGGCAGGGTGTTGCATGGTGGCAGTGATTGCTAGTCATCGACCTTTCCAATTTATATATGTATATACATGTACATCGATTTCCTTTTGAAGCTCGCGGGATGGGGTGAACCCTCTGGGGAAAGTTTCGGCTTTATTCGATTTTTTTCATCTCTGAACAACAACAACCCGTCCGCAGGGCTGAGAGCTGGAGCGGGAGCGCGGGGTTTGAGCCCAGATTCCCGTTTATTCCCGACCCCATGGGGCTGCGGGAGGGAGGCTCCTGGAGTCTTGTGCATGCCTGGAGGGGCAAGGGCGACCTGAGTCCTTCCAGCACACTGATGAAGACGGGGCGAGAGGGGACGCTCATGGAGGGAAGAGGGTCTTACATAAACCAGGGGCATCTTGGAGCTGTCTCAGCGAACCGGGTGGTGGGTCTTAAGACCTTTCTATCCCTGTCCATCTTTCCGTTCCCCATCCGGTCATTTTGACATTACTCAAACGCAACCGCAGCGCTCTGGAGGAGGACCCCCGCCACTTGGTGAGTGCGATAGCGCCCCAACTCTTCTCCCCTTTCTGCGCTGCTACCAGTCTTCCAGGCTCAATGCAGAAGGGTGACGTCAACCCCTCAGCCCGGCCGTGGGGGGCTGCGTGGTGCACCTCACTGAGGGATGCGCCCTGCTGCTTGCGGGAGGGGGAGGAGGAGAAGGAGGAGGGGGCTCCAGGATTGAGCCTTACCTCATCCTGTTTGGCAGTGCGTGGAATCAGTGCAGAACTGGTACTGCAGTGATTCAATCAGGAGAGGTGGGTGGTACCTAAAGACCATTCCCCCGTTGTTTCTCTTTCAGTGTGTAAGACCCCATCCTCTCCCCAAGTTGCTTATCCTCTTGGGGGAATGAACGGATGTTTTACCCTCTTCTTTCCTCCACCTCACCAATAATCTGGGTCATTTCAGCTACCAAGGCAGTCATTTTGAAACCTGAGACTGTAGATACTCAGTCCAGCCTTTGGTGGTTATTCTTTTTACTCCCCCCTCCCAATAGCCCTAATTTTGGTTTGAAATTGGGCCACAGTGTTGTATGAGATACCCAGACTGGGCTGGGTGGTGAACCAGGCTGTTTGTAATGGTAAACGCAGGAGCTGTGATTTATTAAAGGAGAAAAAAAAAAAAAAAGTCAAATGCCCTCTTGGGCATTTCCTTGTCACTGGCATTGGTGATTCTTCAAGTCGAAGGCACTGTGGACCCTAGAGACTCGGTACTCAGAGCTCTGAGATGAGATGGGATAGATTAATTGGTATATCGCAGGAACCAAACATGAAAACCCAAACCCGCTGGTCTATCGCACGAGACAAACACAGAAACCAACCAACCAACAAACAAAACCCTTTGCGAATTCTGGCTTATAGTAACCCTTTAGGACAGATTTGAACTGCGCCGTAGGGTTTTCAAGACTGACTCTTTACGGGAAGCCAACTGCTACATCTTTCTCCCAGAGGAGAGAGGCTGGTGGGTTCCAACCATCACCAACCATTTGGTTAGCAGCTGAGCGCTTAACCACTGTGCAACCTGTGCTCCGAAACGAACCTTAAAAGGACACAGGTTGATCAATTTCAGGGATGGAATTGTAAACTATGCATGGATCTTGTTTTCTTATACCCTGCCTGATTGCTGAAACTTCCCAGTAGCCATTTCTGAGAACTGGTTTAGCTTTTTAAATGTATTTCCTTAAATCATTTTTTGTTTGGTCCTTTATTGTTTACTTGACTTCCTACTTGTTTCTGGATTAAATCATATAGATGATTATTTTTAGCATCTTGAAAAATTACGTTTACATTTTAAATGAAGGGGTGTTCTTTCAGTGTTCTTGTGGTCTGTACATAAGGGGTCTTCTAGGCTGAGGTTTTTCATAATGAACTCTTTAATGCTCCTTGCTTCCTTCCCTCACCCCATGAATTGAATCTCTCAATTCCTCAATTCATCTGAAGTATTCACTGCATTTTATGTCTTCTGAGGTTCCTTGATGCCCGCATTAAAAAAATATCCCCCCACTTTCAGGATTTTCATAGTCTTAAGTAAAATTTACCTGCAGTATTCAAAAACCATTTTGTAGTTCACAGCCTCCAGATACAAGGATATTTTCAACATTTTCATTAATAAACCAGAACACCAAGGCATTGTTTTTCATTGTGCTTAAAATACATTAAAAAACAAAACAAAAAACCCCCACAAAAGTCCTCTTACAGCAAATCAAAACTTCTGGGATTATACTATTTAACAAAAAGATGAATTTAGTGTGTGTGTGTTTTTTTTAAGTGGAAGATGGAGGAAAGATTAAACAGAATTGTTGCCTTTGTAATTTGTGTGTGTGTGTGTGTGTGTGTGTGTGTGTAAGTTGTTTTAGTAAGGATTTCTTCTCTTTCCTCAATTTAGTTTTAAGGCCAGAAGAAGACATTTAGCCTTAAAATGGTGACAGACCAATAGTATCAAGAGGGTCGATGTACCTGGGCATACACTAAATCAGAGGTTTAAAGTTGTGTTTAGAATAAGAAATAACTGTTTTAATTTGTCCTCCTCTACCTGTAATCTTGAAGTGTCCTTCTAAAGCAGTGATTCTCAACAGGGGAATTGTTGCCTCCCCCCCCCCCAGGGGACATTTGGCAATGTCTGGGGACATTTTTGGTTACAACAGGGGGTGGTGGTATTTCTGCAATCTAGTGGGTAGAGGCCAGACGTGCTGCTAAGTATCTTAGAATGCATGGGACAGCCTTCCTCAAGCAAATAACTATCCAGCCCAAAACGTCAATAGTACCAGCAACCTTTGTGCTATCGGATTTACATAGTAGTAAATACTAAGGGAAAATAAAACAGATCCTTATTTAAAAACTCACTATATCCATTTATTGGTGTTTGAGAACCACCATATCTGGTCATGCCCCAACATTATATACAGTGTATCATAATTCTTTCAAATGAATAATATGTAACTATTCATAGTTACCAATAGTGCTGCGAACCACAAGGTCAGCAGTTCAAAACTACCAGCTGTTCCGCGGGAGAAAGACGAGGCTTTCTGCTCCCATAAAGATTTACAGCCTTGGAAACCCTGTACAGGGTTGCTATGAGTCAGAATCGACTCCATGGCACATTACCACCACCACCACCATCCATAGTTAAACAATATTACCTGAATGCTAGATAAACAGATTCCTTATTTTCCTTGATTTTTATTTTGTTTTTTTAAAATGAAGGAAAAATACCTAGAAATAAGCTATTCTGTGTTTTGTTGTTATTGTTAAGTGCCGTTGTGTTGGTTCCAACTCATAGCAACCGTGTATAGGGTTTCTGAGGTACAGCTAGTGAGTTTGAACTACTGATCTTGTGGTTTAAATCTACATTGAAGTCAAGTGCTTAAAGACTAGCAAATAGTGCCTGGCTCCTAGTAGGTTTTGTTGTTGTTGTTAAGTGCCATCAAGTCAGTTCGGACTCATAGCGACTCAGTATAGGGTTTCTGAGGAGCGGCTGGTGAGCTTGAACCACTGACTTAGCTGTTCAAAACAACCTTGCAGTCCAACACATTAACCTGCAGCGCCACACCAAGACCCTAGTACATTTACTCAGTAAATATATCCTGAATTAATAAGTGAAAACTTATTATCTGCTCTTGAACTCAGTTGTTTTCCTCAACTCATCTCCTTGTGGGAGGTGAGGCTTTTAAAACAGTGTTGTTTCCAGGTCTACCTGTGGTGATTTAAATGTGGTTCTGCCATTAAAATGGAGTCCTGGTATGGCGTTGTGGGTTAACGTGCTGGACTGCAAAATCAGTTTGATCTGCTAGGTGGGTGGTTCAAGCTCACCAGCCGACTTGTTGTTAAGTGCCTTTGAGTCAATTCTGACACATGAATTGTTGTTATTAAGTGCCATCAAGTCTGTTCCGACCCATAGCGAACCTACATAGGGTTTCCAAAGAGCAGCTGGTGAGCTTGAACCGCCGACCTTGTAGTTCAAACCGATTTTGCAGTTCAGCACATTAACCTACAATGACGCACTAGCTAGCTTATTAATACCCACAACCATTGAGTTGATTCTGACTCTTAGTAACCCTATGCGACAGAGTAGAACCACTCCATAGAATTAATGGTTGTCTAGTTTGTCAGACATTTTAGGTTATTTACAATTTTAGTGGTAATTTAGTTCATTAAGTTTGAATAAAAAAGATGACTTCTTTGTCCTAATATAAAACTGTTTCTTCTATAAGATCTATATGGTGGTGGTGTGCCTTGGAATCAGTTCCCATGCACACTATAATATTGCTACTTCTTGATTTTCAATTTTTCAAGATTGTTATTTATTAACTTCCTACTATGAGAGTGCTCTGGTAGCGTAGTGGTTACGAATCGGGCTGCGAACCACTAGGTCAGCAGTTCAAAGCTACCAGCTGTTCCGCAGGAGAAAGATGAGGCTTTCTGCTCCTGTAAAGATTTACAGCCTCGGGAACCCTGTACAGGGTCCCTATGAGTCGGAACCGACTCCACGGCACATAACCACCACCACCACTATGAAAGAGAGTCCTGGTGTGGCGCTGTGGGTTAATGTGCTGGACTGCGAAGTTGGTTTGAAATGCAAGTTTGGCGGTTCAAGCTCACCAACTGCTTCTCAGAAACCCTATAAAGTCAGGACCAACTCGAAGGTACTTAACAACAACAACAACTATGAAAGGTGAAAATTTCGCTCTCCTGCCCCTGCTGCTTCCTCTCTCCTTCCTATCCTCACATCTTACCAATATTTACATTATTACATTGTTTTAGTTAGAGCTGCAGTCAGTGATTACATTAATTTGACTGG